ACTTCCTGACCAAATTTGGACAGGTTATATCGATATATATTATCACCATCCCTCTTCATCCTCATCTCATAGTAATGATTCTGGATTCTTATCGAGGTTTCGTGGTGTCATTGCAGAGTGCTTTAACCGATGCGAGAGATCACGTCCATGAAATGTGTGAAAAGGAAGTTAGTATTTCTTACTAAAACGCTTCCTTTCATGAACATATGCTGAATTTTGAAGATGCTGCAAGTATGTTGTTTGAATTCTTCTCCCCCCCAAAGTTTTCAGTTGATTTCTTCTTCAAGGGAGTAGCTTTGAAATTTTGACGTCGAGAGGAATAGGAAATTGTATCATAATTTCTTATCTATTCTTTATTGGGTCTTATAACTTTTTCAAACCTATAAAAAGTTACCAATAAGAGAATCCCTTTGTCTAAGCCTGGAGTTTTTAAATAAAACACTTTTTGTATAAGCTTATTTTTCAAAGTGGTTTTGGAATTATGAAAATTTTATAAGATAATTTTAATTGATATCCTTATATTTCTTGTCAATATCCTTATATTTAATTAATTAAAATATTCAAAAAGTCTGAGAGTACTAGAATTTAGCTGTCAATTTTATTAACCAAAATGTGTATTTCTTTCTATAAAAAACAAATGGTACATTTAATCTTTTCAAGGGAAATACAAAAGAAAAAGAAGAAAATTTGTGGAAGAATCTACCAAGTAGTCAGAAATGCTAATGTGTGGAATCGCTTGAAAAGCTTCTACACTTGAAATGCTCTCCGGGCTCTCCAGGACGTGGAAATCTCAAGCTAATTGTTCTCTTCAAGGATTGACATGCATCCATATTTCCCATCTTTATCTTCCCCTTCAACTCTCCAGCTATTTCATGACACACTTGATTCACAGTCCTCACAAAATCCCTCACTGTCACAAAAAGCTCTAATGGATTTTCTGTATCCCTTGTTTCATAGTACTTGTTCGTCTTCTTCAATTCATCCAACACCCTTCTTTGTTCTCTTCTTGCTATCTCAACTTCTTCCGTTGCAAATTTCACAAATTCCAACATCTTTATCTTGTATTCGCCACCTTCCATCGATAGAAGGTTTTGTATCTCTAAGATTTTGATTAACAGGTTAGGGCAAGTGATAATGAAGGCTTCATAGTCGATTGTGGATGCTTTCTTGACGTTGGAGAGCTCTGAAGTTAGTGATTCCATAGCTGATAATCCAAGCATTATGTATTCGGTTTCTATTTCCTTTACTGATAGATTCTTTGAATCTTTGTTTAAGAATCGTTTTTTTCCTTCACATTTTATGACTTCTTCGACAATGAAATGAAGCAATGTAGTTTTTCTATCTGTGCTTTTCACATCGGAAAGTTTTAAGAGTGATTTGAGATTGAAAGCAGTTGCATTACCTCTTGTTGTTCCTGAATTCAACTGGTTTCCAGCTTTGAGAGTTGCTTCTAACAATTTTGTGAATAGCCTTTTTTCCTTCAATTCTTTGCAACCTCTACTAAGTGTTTGTGAAAAGTCCTTGAGTCGATTAAGCTCTGATTTGAAGCTTGATCTGAAAAACATAGCATTTAGACGATTGAAGGCCGTTGGAAAAGCCTTGAGGAGATGGAAAATGAAAGATTCTGCATCGCCAAGTCTTAATGAATTGCCATCAAATTTGAGGATTTGGGATTGTTGTTCTTTGGTTGGAGTGATCTTGACAAGCTTCTCAAGTGTGTCTGAATCGAGGCCATGTCCCTCCGTGAGAGCATCGAGAAGTTCTTGCCGAGTTATGTTCAGGGATTTAAGGATTATTGCAATGTTTCTCGCCCTTTGGGAATCAAGAATTGAGATTAGCGGTCGTCTGCCATTGTTGAGGCCACTCTGCTCTATTGGCAGTTTCTTGTTTGTGGCTACAAACCCAAAGAGATCTTCCATACGGTTGCCATTAAAGCTGAATAACAAAGATCAGATCAAAAAAGAGAACAAAATCAAAATAAAAATCTTCCATACGGTTGCCATTAAAGCTGAAGAACAAAGATCAGATCAAAGAAGATAACAAAATCAAAATAAATCTCTTTCAAATTAGGAATTATGACATGAGTTTTACCTGAAAGAACCGTCATCAATCTTATCCCACACCATAGAATGATCTACATTGGTATTGATCTTATCCCAATATAATGGCTTCAGTCTAGCCTGATCTTTGCCTGATAAAGATGGCCCTGTCTTGGCAACTACAGTTGATGGTGGCGGTGGTGGGGGCGGTAGGGGAATTGATGGAGGAGGAGGAGGAGCCGTTGATGGAGGCGGCAGGGGCATTGATGGAGGAGGAGGAGGAGGAGGAGGCAATGGCAATACTCGTGAACTAGACAGAGAGTGATCACGAGCTTCCATTGAAGAAATTCCATGGAGCAGAGGAGTTTCTTGCACAATCTCAGGGATGATTGATCCATCTCTTGCAAAACCCATTTCTTCATCTTCTTCATTGTCCTTCTTCCAATACATCACATCAAGACCATCTTCTTCAACAATCAATCCATTAAGGTTTCCTTCGAATCTTGTAAATTCTTGAGATTCTACTTGATGTTCCTTGAGTTTTGCAAGAATGCGTCTTCGAATGTAAAAGAGGAGACCCAGAGAAAGCAGAAGGGTAGCCGCTACAGTAGAAACCGCTACCGCTATAATGGTGCCTTTCTTGAGCTTCCGCTTCGGTTTCCTCATCCTCTTCGGTTCTTGAAGTGGTGGATGTGGTGATGGTGGCGGCGGCGGCGGGGGCGACCTTCTCCCGGAGATGGAGAGATTGTCTGTAGTATTACTGATGGTTGGGAAATGGAATGGCAGTGGAAAAGGGTAACAAGTTTGGATATTCTGAGGGGAGGAGTGAGCGGAGGAAAAAAGAATGATGGAAATGAGAAGAAAGAGGCATGGCGGAAGGATTGAAGCCATGGGAGCTTCGGAAGAATTGCAGAGAGAAGTGGGAGTGAATCAGCGTTGTTTCTTGTTGTTGATTGCAAAACTGTTGATGATGGCTTTTCGAAGTTGATCCAAGAGGGTATTTATAGGAGTTAGGGCGACCTTAGCCATTGGAATATAATAATTAATAAAAATAAAGAACTCATCTGATTTCTTTATCTAATTTCTTTATAGTCAACATATTTATCAAAATACTAAAAAATCAAAAATACTTCTCACTTTCAAAATTTTTAATAATAATATTAAATTCATTTACTTCTCAATTCCTTTTAAACTTTTTTAATTAAAAAAAAAAAACTCAAATAATATCGATATTCTTTTACTTTTTAGAAACATGTCAGTATTCTTAAAATTAAAGGGTAAGATACTTTCTGAGATACAGATGGATGGTTTTTGTTCGACGATAATAACATTTTAATTTTAAGATTGAGGGTGTTGGTGCGATTTTTAAAAGTTTATGAGTATTTCTTAGACATAGTATCGACCAACTTTAATAATAATTTTTTTTTTTTTTTTGTAACTTTTTAAAAAAGAAATTAATGAAAATTTTAAAGTTTAAGGTTAATTTTTAAGTAAAAAGGTGTTTTTTAATTTTTTTTTTTTTTTAAAAAAAACCCAAGCTATTACTTTCATGAGGAGAAGGAACTATTTTTAAATTTTCTATTACTTTGAGTATTATTGCCATGGAACTAGAGTATTAAAAAGAATTTCATTACTCTCTATCTTCTTCGGTATAAGAGAACAATTATGTAGGTAAAGTGACCAACTAAACAAACACGTAAATCATCCACAACTCTTTAATAAATTAAAATCACACCCTCAACATACTTAAACGGCATAAAATTTTCTCGTCTCCCCTATCAAGTTTAGCTCTCCATACAAACTGAATTAAATAGAAGAATCCATATCTTAATCTTAAAATTGATAAAATAAGAAATAAAGTAAGGAATTAGAGTGTTGTCAAGTTTTGTTGTTGTTCTTCCATGAAAGTTCCCTTCTTTTGAGCTCTCACGTCTACCTTTTTGCCCAAATGTATCATTCTTGGTCTTCTTTTCCTTCTGTTGTCAACCGTGGATTAGGGTTCTTCTTCTATTCTCTGCTTTCACATTCTTTTCTCAAATGTGGCTCCCCTCTCTTGATTTGGTATAGCATCATGATTCAATATAAATATAAATAACTCAACTAAATGTACAATTAGGCTTGATTCATGTAAATTGATATCTTGAAACACAGTGAACTATTTCAACTTACTAATTAGAATAAATGGAGCAACAATGAGAAAAGGGTTTGTAAGAGTGCATAATTAACTAAAAAAAAAAAAAAACTTGATTATCACTTGATCAATTAGGCTCCTAAACATGAATACAAATTATTTACCCAAGGTTAAAATTAGTTGAACCAGCCCAAAAAGTTAGCAAATTTTGTTCTATGTAGCACTTACGTGTGTTCGGTTTCATTTTTCACGACCTTCCAAAATCTGGGTTTTCTTCAAATTTATCGAGTAGGTCCCAAATTGAGTTTATTTTCTTAGAACATAAAAATTTACTAACACAATAATCCACACCATTCTTAAGTCTTAGAATGAATGGTGCTAACATTGCTCCCAAAAAATGACTCATTTGTTAAACAGATATCATAAATTGTTTATGATATTGTTCATAAACCCAAAATCAAACGTTGGAACAAAGCGAGTATCTTTCCATCGATCTCGCCCACACTCTACCAACATTATCATAGGCAAATCTGAGCTAATTTGCAACCACCATTCAACATGAACCAAGCACGTCTCGTGGCACGACATCTTCAACAACAGAGCTGCGAGCAGAGATGCAACAACTACCTGAAACAACATTGTTCAACGAACAAGAGCCGCTCCAGATTGATTGCATCCATGAAAAAGATGAAGAGCCGGTCCAAAACAACGGTCTATTTCTTCACGTCAATCAATCATGAAGTTAGTTATTTCAAAATCTATCTAAGAACAATTCTCTATAGGTATAAAACGAACTATTTTAATGAAAGATATAGCACCTGCATGAACAGTTCAACTATTAAAATCACTCTTTCATTCCCCAAGCCTGTATAAATCAAAAACGCATTTTAGCACTGTCACAGATTGTCCAGCAAGTCAATCAGGTGAAGGTGAACCAGCGGAACCGCAAGCCTTTCCGCAGTAAACAAAAATATTAACATTCACAAGAGCACACTCGACCTTGGGTCATGCGAAATCCAGCTCATATTGCTATTCACAAAACTTAATTATATGACAAACAGCAGTGGTGATGGGATTCCATAAATTATACAATTTACATGCGTGATTTTTGCTGGAGAAAGGATCCAACTAAAAGAATCATTGTAGACAAGTTGTCATCCACAGCGTGCCCATGTGGTTCAGGGCCATACTAGAGATTTAGCACTCCAGTCGGGCTATTACTTGCTCTCGTATCTTCTCTGATTATACCAAATCAATCCGAATGCAGCCAATAAAAATTGTTTGGGGGAAAAGTTTCACCTTCCCTGCAATATTGAAGTTGACTAAAGTGTCTATGAAGGCCATAATGCATGTGTAGTCAATGCTGAAAAGAAACAGAAACATACTTTAATTTTTCTCGACCTTTTTCAGCAAGATTTTCTTTTCTCAACCTTTAAATGGATATTGAACCATTTTTTCTTCTTAGGCCTATCCCTTGTAGATTTCCTCTCCCTTATTTGGCTGTCTTCTTTAGCATCCTTAAATGAACCCCTAATCCGGCTCCTACTCCGTTTTATTGGAGGACAAGTTGTGTAGGAGGCATGAATTTCATTCCTCTGTTTGAGAAGCTCATCGATCTGTAGAGAAAATGAGGCAGAACAATCGGTTGTTAAGAAACTATCATTTTGAAAGCATATTCACCAGGCAGCTAAGACTTTTTATATCTTCAAGTTTTAACTTACCACTTGCATTTCTTGAGTGTATCTACCAGTCATCTCAGTAAATTGTGCCAGAACCTATTAAAATTTCCAATAATTATTAGTACGCTTTCATATAGAAGTTGTAAAGAGTTAGAGCTCGATGTCAAAAACTAGACCTCACGATATTCTGTTTCAAAATTGGATATTTCCACCCTTTTTGTCAAAATTTGAGCTTCCACCGTCCTAAGATTTTCCTTCTCTTCAGCAAAAGACGATGCAGAGAAGGCCTCAATTGTGTAGCTCACACTTTTGAAAAAATTGTCTCCTAGAGAATACAATGATCATCAGGCCCGCATAAAAATATTCATAGAACAAATACTATATTCCAAAATCAATAATTGAATATCAAAACCTATAAAAACTGACCATAGACTGCAAAGACATGAGTTCCAGCCTTTAGTTCAGTTATTTCACATGGCTGGAATCCATCTAGCTTTTTAAAAAAGGCAGCATCTGGATCCTTAGCGGCAGTAATCTGGAAATAATAATAAAATCCTAATGATCACAATATCAAGATGTTGAGTAATTAAGTATAATTAAAGTTAATCCTTGTTTCATAGTTATTAAAATTTTTGAGAAAAAGGTACAGTTGATCCTTGATAGAATTCCTGATTCCACTTTTCTCACCTCCTGGAAAGGCTCTTACACTTATGTTTGGAGGAGGTACTGCTTTCGTTTCCAATTATACAAAAAAGTTACTGGAATTATTGTCTGTTTCTATTCCTTTTTCTCGATTACATATTGTTTGTATTCCTTAAGCACTTAAACATTACATTTCCATCACATTAACCATCACAAACAAATTGAATAATTTTATGGTCATAAAACAGGCATGTTCAGCTAAAAAACTTCCTCTCACTGATGAGAGAGACTATGCAAAGTTTGCAGTAGATGTAGCATGTTCTGAGGGCCACTGCAGTCCAGATTGTACAGAATTCTAATTCAAATAATTGCTTAATTTTAAGGTGACTTTCAGAAGCAATTTCGTTTTTCATTTAAGAAGTTCTAAAATTAGACATGGAAATACTTGTCAAATGTATTTCTTTTTCCTTTTTGTAAGGGACAAATTCTGTGAAATGATCATTGAGCTTTTCTTTTCTTTTTATTTTTTTCCCCTTTTGAATTAACGATTAGAGAACAAAAATAGATATGAAACTGAATCTCAGAAATTAATCTCTAGTTGGCTTACCGAGCTTATTGTTTGATCCAACCGATATACAGGGAAACCAAGAAAATACATTCCAGCAGATGTGACTTTTCCTACTTTAGTACTTTCCTCCTACAAATATAACAAAAATTCAAACATGCCAAGTACTGAGCTTTAATGGAAATGGTTTTAAAGGGTTCATTGATGGTCAAACAACAGAAGATATACACATAACTACGATGTTTCCACAAGTATTAACAAGAACCACCATCAAATTAAAAAAGATTAAAAAATAGTCTCTCCAAAATTATCCAACTAGAAAACTATTGAATATGAAACTATTCATGTATATGAATTCACCCTTACTGTCCAGAGAAACATTATACTATTAATCACTAAAAACCTGAACTTCTATCACAAAACTAAAAGAAGAAGAAACATAATGCAGTAATAAATAATTAACTGGCGAACAAATGACAAGCGAGTATATTATCTCATGCATGTATTGATGATAACTTCAAACTACAAGGTGGTACCACAAAGACATTAGGTTATAGAATGAAAAACTATATTGCATCAGGATAATCTGCTGACCAGATCAGTTATCTAGTTCAGACCATGCCAAAAAGATGCAAAAGGCTACTAGAAAAGATTGTGAAGTACCTGTAAAGAAAGGTTTAGTCCACCAGTTTCTTCCCGATCAAAATACAATAACTACATAAAATGTGAACGATAAATTTAGAAAATACTTAATGCAAAATGAAATTTAGTTCTGTTTTTCTTGTATTTTTTTTTTTTTTCTTTTTTTTTTAATCTTCATAGTATTCTTTGGCTATTTTTAGAAGTTATAAAGCCATACAAATATATAATTCAGCAATCTTAAAGAGGAAAAGGAGGAAATGTGGCAAGGAGCATGAAAGTCAATATAATCATGGTAAGGACAATAGATCTCACGAATACAAATCTTCAGCGAGAAACTTCTTCAGACAAACACTAATGACATTCAAGAGAGTTATGGCTCACCTTAAATTTGCTTTTATCAGGTGATTGAACTCGGCAAATAAATCCACCCTGTGATTCCTCTTCACTAATCATAACAGAATAAAAATGAGCACATTGTTTCTCAACCTGTAAAAATTACAGAAACCTGAATTAGCATACCAATAAACTAAATGGTTGTCAGATATTCCATACAACGGTGCACCTTTTTCGACATAGGCACGCCCAATGGAAGTGGATGAACAGTCACAACCCCATTAAGTGCCTCTTCCAAAACCGTTGCTGATACAGTAGTTTTAATTGGCACACCAAGCTTGCTGCAATTTAAGGATGGATTAAAATAGAAAGAAAATAATAAAGTTTAGAAAATATGGACTTAAACACTATATAAAGTGAGAAGAATTAACAGACAAAAGTAAAAACATACCTAAAAAGGGCAGCAAACATGGTGTTCACGGCCCCCAAACTTGAAAGATCTAGCTCCAATTCTTGGTTTTCTGTTTCAACGGCCTAGGCAAAGGTAACATTAACTTTCTTGAACTAGAAGAAACACATATTGAACTGGAAATCAAAAAGGAACTGTAATAAACTAAATCTTCCAACAAGGGTAGTTTAGTAGTTTTGGTAAGTCCAGTCTATTTTAAAATTTTGAATGTATGTAGAGGTTTGGGGAGAAGCTTTTGATTTTTCTTTTCATGTCTACTCCCATAGTTATTTCCTTTTGCAATTATGTAATAAATACATTAATCATCTTAATAATTTCTTTATTATTTTCTTCAAATGACATATCTTAAATTTATATATTCATTTATTATCTGATAAAACAATAAAATTTAATGTTTCATTTTCAAAGTTTACAACAAGTGAAACAAAAGAAAAATGCAAATAACTAATTTTCTGTTAAAATATTTTCTAACATAAAAAAATGAATATAATGTTACAGATGTAGTTTAGTCGTTTTTAAAAAAAAGATCATTTAGGTAGTGAATCTGCTTGTACTTCGCACAAATTGTTGTTCCTTGTGTGAAGGATGAGTTACAAAATATTTTCTAATATTTTCTCAAAGATTTTGCAGGTAGTGCAGAAGACCTAGTGATGACAAAGGGATGCGGGGATGGTCATGACACTTTCCAACTCTTAGTCTACATCGTTTCATCTTGCTAGGGACTAATACAAATAGGCTTTTGTTTAGTTTTATCTATTTATTCGTTTTTTAACTTATATCTTTGCTGTATAAGGTTTAGCTGATTTCATGATTAGATAAAGTATTTTATTATCTTTCCGAGTTTTGTAACAAGGAACAATTAATAAAATGAACTCTAAATTGGTTTTAGCTAAATCGTCAACTTCCAAGTTCACAAAGTACATTTGTTGTATGAATACACATCTTGAACATGGTAACTTCCTAAAAATGTGAAAATTCACAAGAATGATATTTCACCTCAAAGCCAGCAGCATCATATTGTCGTCTTTTTTCTGGATCTGACAAAATAGTGTAGGAAAAAGTAACCTCCTTAAACATGTCAGCAGCTTTGGGGTCATTTCCATTCTTGTCAGGATGATACCTGGTTTAAAAATTAGAGTTTCATAATCTTGTCAATCATCACATCAACATATTTAGTAAACCACTTTGATATAATAACAAGTGCCATGAAGTAGTGCAATAAAGGGCCACTATTTACCATTATAGGGTGCAACATCACACGGCAAGCATGCTTATTAGCTGACAGAGTTTTATCACTCCTTATGCAGGGAAAAGATTAACTAGATAGCATATAGGTGCTTCAGAAAAAAGGATAAGGAGATTCGATGGAAGTAGTAGGAAATATTGGGGTTCACAGGAATTTGTGATCAAGAACCTATTAAGAATCAAGGGATATGATACTTCATAAACAATATTCAACGCAAGCATTATTATAATCATAGAAAACTTGGTTGGGGTAACTTCTAATAACAATGGCGATTAAATTATCATAGAAGTTGCTTGAACGTACAACAAATGAAATTTACTACTTTGTTTTGGAAATTCTTGATACTTTCTTGGCAAGCTATCACAACAGGAGGGAAGATCATATTGGCATTCAGATAAATTCAGACATTTTTGGACTAATATAAACCCAATCTACTTAGGGAAGCTAATTGTATAAAGACCATCAACTGGGAAATGGTAATTGTATAACGAAATTATCACCAGAAATAGGATATGCTACGCGTGAACTAAATAATGAGACGGTTCAAATATATGAAACTTGTACAGCGATATAAAGATCAAAGTTAGCCTTGGATGGATAATTTTGTGAAATATTTTCCGTTGTTAGCAACCCCCTAATAACTACACAACATCCTGCTTAACATGTAATTAAGGATTAAGATGAAAGAGAAAGCTCCATGGTTAAGGTTGTTAAAACTTATTGCCACTTATTGGGAGGGGCAGAAATAGCAATTCCCAGTGCTACTATTAGGTGTCGGTGAGTCGTTAACCCGATACTTGGAAGTGATTTAAAGCTACCGCCGCAGTTCTCGGTCCCTCTTTTAAGGGCTGAAGTGTTCTAGGTTGGGGAATAATATAAATATGACGTTTACGCGATATCTCAAACTACCAAAAAAGGATCAACTAAACCCCGCCAATATGACAGTGATCTCTATAGCTGAAATAACTAGAAATATATCCAGAAAAAGGTCGAAGTTGTACGAATATAACCAGAAAATGAAGCAAATAGAGGTAAAATATGCATATTTAAAACCTACTTGAGAGCCTTTCTTCTGTAAGCGCTTTTGATTTCCTGATCCGTGGAGTTCCTGGAGACACCGAGTACCTCATACGGATCTCGACGGTTCAACACCGCGGCATCTTGCTTTTCGGATTTGGATCCGTGCGTCGGCATTCTTGAAAACGATGGGATTTTCCTTAAAACAAAACCCTAAAACACCGTCTGCAGATGGGATTTCTCTCAGACCAAAAGTGGAGCTTGCAACTGCAATTTGGCCATGGAATTTGCTCTCGACCAACGCAAACAACGTCAGGTGGTATTAAGAGAGAACAAATCCATGGACATCCAGCCGAAGCTTTTGCCCTTTGGATCACATGGAAGGAAGGGAGAGAGGAGATTAGGTGTAAGATGTGTGTGTTTCGGAAATGGACAAAATGAAAATTCAAAGTTGAAACCCTTTCGCTTTTTGTGCGTATTGCGCCCCTCCTTGGCTCTTTCGTTTAAGCCACCATCTTCAGCTACTCCAAAAATTAATTAATTTTATTTCAAAATTACTTTTAAAATTAATTCATATCATTTCAAATACATATATAAAATAAAACTAAAATTAAAATTAAAATTTATTTTTTTTTAATTCAAGATAATTTTAAACAAGTTGACTTGATGAGTTATGAATTACATTAATTATTAAAAAAAATTATTACTTTTAATTTTTTATTTTTAAAGTTCATGAATTTTTAATTCATCATATTAACCCTAAGGATATTTTTAAACTTTAAAAATTAAAAAATAAAATATTTTCAGTGTAAAAATATATATATATTATTGACATTTTGGAGATTATTTATTTATTTAATAAGTTAACCTATTTTCCTCCCATAAAAAGTAAATTCACATTTAAATTTTGGTTATATGAAATATAGTGATAATTTTGTTAGGTTCTCATATAGCTAAATAAATAAATAAATAAATAAATAATAATAATGTATATATTTAATAATTTTGATTGTTTAGCCATCGTAGATTTATTAATTAATTCACGTGTGACTACAAATATAAATTTGGCAATTGTCCCAAAAAATAACTTTAATTGCTCTTAATTTCATGCTTACATGCCATTTCTTCCTCTCCAAATTTAATGTGTTTAATTTATGGTTGGATCGTTAATAAATTGTTCATTAGTAGTTTGAAGGAATTTAAGTTAGGTGCTCAATCAAAGTCTTAGAGCCAACCAATTTCATGGCTCAAGTTCATTTCAAATCCTCTCGGTCTCTTAAGGTTCATACATCATACTTACTCTTATCCAAGGACGCAATTCACCTATCGAGGTGTATTTTGGTTTTAAGGTGCATGAGTCTCTCATTTCCTACTTTTCAGGGTCCAATAGACGATCATGCTTCCTACGCATAAGTCAGAGTGCTCTTGTATGTCTCGGACTCTAGGGAAGTCTAACAAGCATAGAATAGTCACCGCTCATTATAAGTGCCCTCTTAATTTGCTTATATCTCTATATGTGCCTACTACTAAGCGCTGATTAGAAGCTCCCCTCATGACACCCAACAAGCTTCCTATTCTTACACTATTCCACGGTCGAATGGTGCAAGACAGATTTTTTAGTAAGCGCATTCAGAGCTCCCTCAATAGTACTGTCTAGTCTGCCACAGGTCTTAAGTGGGTGACGTCCCATTCTTGTATGCTTAGTAGTTCATCACCATCCAAGGTGAATTCACGATTAGGTGTTGCACCCCAACTAACCTTACATGGACCTAGCTGACCCATGTTATCATAATGGACCTTAAATGTGGCTCAAGGACGAAGGAAAGATAAAATATAGGCTAATATTCACTAACAGGTCATACGTATCTTCTAGGTCACATAACATCTAGTCCAACATCAATCAAAGTATATATAGATATTCCACCTCCTAATAGCTTCTACGGGCACAAACAACATTAAATCATAATACATATTCGCACAACATACATGCACATTGAGAAAGGGACAGTCAATCATAACATACCAGAGTTATAACAACCATAACAAAAAATCTAAAATATACACTCCACCTAAACCATCATTAAATCATAATTTTAACACTTAGCTCACCATTGAATTTATGACGAAAATTAGGTCAAAATGGACCAATTAGGATTAAAAAATGACAATTGATGAAAAATAGAGAAATACAGTTCGATCGGATTGGTCAGGCCGATCCAATCAAAGCTAGGTTGAACCGATCCAAGTGAATCGGTCTTCACCTACCCCCTTTCATCAACTTCTTCTGAGATGTTGGAGAAATGCTTGAGACAAACACGATGAGCCCAAATTTGTGAAAACCTATGGGGAAATGACTAAGATATTGGTCATGGAAGGTCTCGAGTTTACTAGAATTTACCCACAAACTATCAGACGTTCGAGCTCCTCCTTTGGTCAGACCTAAACCACCAAGAGTTCTAAGTGTCAATCCAACACAAGGGAGGAAATTTGGAGTTCAAAGTCGATTTTCTTACCCATAGAGTGATGTTCCTTGATTGAGGCTCTTACTTGTTTCAAGATTACTTCAAATGCAACTTCATTTATTCTTGGATGGTTACAAATTTAGGATGGATTATTAAAATCTAGATTTATGGTATTTAATTACTGTATTTTATATTTTAAGACTATTTAATTTTAGGTTATATTTATATATCGGCTAATTATGGTCATAAAATATGAAAATTAAATTTTTTTTAAAAGGGCTCATGTAAGGTCAAGGGTTTCATTTGGAGGGTATATAAAACTTGTATGTTATCTTTGTAAAAGAGATTGGGGAAATATAGTAGAAAGAGCGTTTCTGCTTTCATTTCCATAACTAAGTTTCTTTGCAATTATGAGTAATTTAGGTTAAAGAAAAACACAAATGCTCTTTTGACTGCATTGTCCAAGTCTTTTTTACAAAAATAACGTATATCATACATTTGTAATCATCTCATAAAAAAAAAATGAAGCCACATTTAAAGTATCTTGGACCTCTCGAGGCATAAATGAGACTTGCTTCTTCTTAACGTGAAATTCATTACAACATGGGTTCAACTTTAATAGAACTTAACTTTATCTTACGATAATAGAACTTGAATATATCTCGTGATAATTTGAACAACATTCTTGAGATGTCTTGGTTCATATCACTGATTATGGGACACCTGATAAGGATTATAGTGTTCCAAATGTTCCAACTAAACCTATCACACGATTCAAGGCCAAAAAGATTAAACAACTATTCATTTTTCATCTACAAAATTGGATAGCCTCAGTTCAACTCTTATTTATGCAACCTCATTTGATTGAAAAAGAACCATATGAAGCTTCGAAAGTAAATATTTACACGGTTGAAGTAGCGGATAAGATTGCTATAAATAGAAATATTATTTATCAGTTAGGTGAAAACCTAAATAAATAATAAACTAATGCCTTCCCAATATACTCCAATGCATATAATATAATATAATATAAGCATATTAGTAGCAGGCTTTGAGGCAGGTGGATCCAGGCCCAAGCCCAACCGTGCCGATGGCTACTTCGTTTCAAACAGGCCCTATGCTCGGTGGAGATGAATTGCCCACAAGGTCCAACAACAAAACTTGAAACTTTCATAGCCATGGCAGCACCTCCTTCGGGTTCGAGGCCACCCGTATGATAGTTTTTAAATGATAGGTCTCTAGGTCATGAGTTGCATGTGTTTGCATTCACTTATGAAATGTTTTTTTTTAAAATACTTATTGTGTGCTATTTCTATTTTAGGTAAAGGCTAGACATCTTTGTAAAGTTGATAATGGCATCATAGTTCTAGACTATGACAGATGCATAGGATAGTTGTACTTACTTAGACTTAGGTTAGAATAGGGTGTTTTTAATTTTAATGTTTATTTATTTTATTTAGTATTTTATCGTGTCATTTAAAAGATGTTTTCGAGCACGTAAGTCCATTACAGTGTTTTAAGATGGAGTTTATGTGTATGAGAAAGTTTTAAAAGTTTAATTTCGCATATGAATATAGAAGATAACGACGGTAACGACTCTAAGTAGAAATCTAGGGCATTATAGAAATTATGTGAAGAAATCATGGCCTAAAAGTGTGTCAATCACTCCAACCAATAATAATGTTATGAATTCTGGTGAGAATTTTAGTTTTTTTTTTTTTTTTTTTTTTTTTTTTTTTTTTTTTTTTTTTTTTTTTTTTTT